CTATCAAATGGATGTATTCAAAAGCCTTAGACTTGTCATTGATCTCCGAATTTCTAAAGATTAAGATGTATATTGATATTATTGTTCAGAATCAGAATGGTTTCAATGTATGTTTTATGTGGGTGATTCAATACACGATTTTATATCTCTCTGTGGAGGCTGGCTAGCAAGAAACTTAGTCATAGCGCAAATGCTGTTGAGAATCTGTTGCACGGAACCGGTGAATAAAATAACTATTATTGGCATACAGTATACAATATCTCTGTCGAGAATAAAGTCAGCAAGAAGCTCAAGAATAGACTTGGTACAAGAAATTCGCAGTCCTCCATCTAAAGCTCTCGGTAAATTGTTGTATATTGTAGGTTTTGGATACGCAGTGCAGTGAAACCTGTTGGGGCTGAAAGAAGATGCGATTATAGAGTTTGAATTTTATTATGAATTAGGCACATTTGAGCATTCGCCTGGCATATTGAAAAGACCTTTGCCGATATCTGAAACATGTAATGCCTCTGCGGGTATATGAGGGAGGCAAGAAGGGTAGTGGTATTAGTGAGGTATTTCGAAGAGCAGTTACAGAGAACATTCAGAAACTTGTTGTAGATTTCTAGTAAAACGAGCGGCGTAGCACATGAGAATTACGGTGAAATGGTTGGTCGGCCTACCAGTATATGAGAGTTATGGTCAGCCATCATAGGTTGAGTATACTTCTTTCTATAAGATCTTGATTGGTCATTCCATCGTGCGGAACAGGACTACATGCTCGGATCTGAGAAGTTGACAGCCATTGCCTGCAGGTTCCTATGATCAAGGTAAGATATGAGTACCGTTAAACATGGAACGTAAGATGCTTTATTTGAATGTGAGAAGACATGGCCAGTTTTTGCGATGCTTCAAGATATATGTGGCCATATATGTAAAATCAACTGAACATGAAAGCTTGTGTACCTGGATCGTTGTTCTTTGCCCAGCATGTAAAGGTGCAAAGCCAATGAAGACCAATTGTCAATTGCAGATGGCAATCTGTAAGCAAAACACCTTTAGTTACCGAACACTTATTAGCTGTCAAAACTAGAAAAAGTGAGAAAGTGATTTGCCCATGCTTGATACAATTTCATGTTGCCCTTTCACTCCTTGATCATCATTCGATAGAGTGAACTTTCACACGATCGAATTGGAGAGACTTTGCTTGTTGTTTGATCATGATTTGCATCGGTTGCAACTTCAAGTGTATGCATTGGAGCTCAACAGGCTAAGAACACATGAGCAGCACCGAGAGTTCGAAGTAACGTCGAACCCTTGGGACGCATGTGTTTTTTCGTTCCTTTGAAAATATCGAGGAGTTTGGATGATAAAAGCACTAGGTACCATGAGGATTCATTGTCAGGTGACTATGGCTGTTTTAAAGCGGCTTGCTCTCTTCTAAAAGCGGCTTGCAAGATGTAATTCCCATGTGGTAAATCCCTGCAATAATTTTAACTCTCAAAAGTTCCCAAGAGCTTTTTTCTCGAAAGCTGACTTCTCATCAACCTAACAAAAAATCAACTCAAATCACAAAATGGCAAAAAGAAAGAGAAATGCTACTGATTCGGCGCCTGCTGTCGCAGCACCATCAATACCAACGAAGAAATTGAAGCAAACTGCAACACCAAAGGCCAATTCCTCCAAGCCTACTACTATTCAAATCATTACTGGATCTTACGACCGAGTCCTTCATGGTATCACCACAACAATTCGCTCTGACGATGACGTCCAATTCGCAGATACCTTTCTCTTTAATGCGCATACCTCTGCTATCCGAACTTTAGCACTCTCTCCTCCCTCTGCTCCAGTCCCCAAACAATCACAAAAGATCATTCTCGCAACCGGCAGTACTGACGAGCGCATAAATCTTTACCACATCTCCGCACACCCTCCATCCAAGATATCAGTTCCCGTAATTCCCTCCCTTACAGCCAAGGCCGTTGTGGAAAATCCACAAAATCGCGAACTTGGCTCACTACTTCATCATGCTTCCTCAATCACTGCCCTTTATTTTCCCACCCGAAGTAAGCTGATGAGCTCTGCGGAGGATTCGACAATTGCCGTTACGAGGACAAGAGATTGGAGTCTATTGAGTACTATTAAGGCGCCGATACCTAAAGCCGTGGGTAGACCCAGTGGTGATACGGCTCCTCTCGGCGGACAACCAAGTGGAGTTAACGATTTCGCCGTGCATCCAAGTATGAAACTCATGCTCAGTGTTGGAAAGGGAGAAAAGTCTATGAGGTTATGGAATTTGGTCACAGGAAAGAAGGCGGGTGTGTTGAATTTCGAGAGAGATATGTTAGTCGAGGTCGGGGAAGGGAGATTTAGTAGTGGAGAGGGAAGGAGAGTCGCATGGGGTAATACAAAAGAGGGCGGAGAGGAGTTCTGCGTAGGATTCGAGAAAGGAATCTTGGTTTTCGGAATGGACTGTAAGGTTAGGTGCAAGATCGTACCAACACCAAGGTCCAAAATTCATCAACTGTCTTACGTGCAAGTGGGAGATGACGAAGATTCTCAAGTCTTGGCTGTCTCCACGGAAGATGGAAGAATCTTGTTCTATTCCACAAACACTGGAGACTTAGAAAGTGCAAAAGCTGCCGAAAGAAAAACACAGCCAATACCCGCCGCTAAGTTATTCGCACAACTTGGTGGTAAAGATAGCGGAGTAACTGGACGTATCAAGGATTTCGCCGTCTTGAACGTCGGAGAAGGTTCTTCCAGAGACATTCTGATTGTGGCAGCAAGCAGTGATGGCGCTGTCAGACTATACAAATTATCTGCAGCCAAGGATTTGGCGCAAGTTGGAGAGAAAGTAAACCAAGTCGGAAAACTGATTGGTACATACGAGACCGGAAATCGCGTTACATGTTTGAAAGCGTTTGTTATGTTACCAACCCCTGAAGGGGCAGAAGATGAAGAAATTGAGATAAATGAGGAGGACGACGAGGAGAGTGGGGATAGTAGTAGTGATGATAGCGAATAAGATACCCTCTGATGAAGGATTTCCATCGATTTTGAGTTTTGTTGCATGATACTGAGTCTTGTTTGTGGTTGAGTAATGTGATAGTTCTTACAAGTGTGAAAGAAGGCAAGCAACTTTGTCATTTGAACCTCTGGTCTGGGATGAGTTGCATGTCAAGTAGAACACGCCCGCCAATATCTGAGATGAAACCTGGTCAGATTAATCATACATTGCTATTCTTAATCATCATAATGTTGAAGGAAGAATCACTTCTTTGATAAGATCATACACGTCTCCTGGCATTTCAATAGGAGAATAGTTTCTGAAATCTCATGCCGCCAGATATCACCCCAGTAGGTATTCGATTCTTGTCATTCACACTCGCTCGGCTATCAGACTACTCCGTTCATCCTGCACATCTACTCGGTATTGTCCCGGATCTACCTAGGTAATTTTCATAGTGTATCAGTTTCGAAAGTTTGTCTTGATCTAATCAACATGTTTTGATCTAGATTCTTCGCATTGATATTCATGATATTTTGACTGGCAGGTATACACGTAAGGAACACTCATACTTTTCTTGTCTTTTCTTCGCAGAGCAGTATAAATACTTTGCGGATCTGTATTGATTGAAAAAGTTTTGCCATCATGAGTTTTCAAATACTATGTTTCATGACTGTTCAACACCTCGAGTGTTTGTGTGTTGGCTAGCTAGCGATTCATCATATTGTAAGGGTTACTGTAGGATATGATATATCTTCTAGCTGTCATGGAGAAGTGTTCTTTTTGTTAATTTAATGAGTGATTTCAAGGTATCTTCACTAGAAAACTACACGATTGTTGGTGAGTGGTCAAAAGTGTTACTTTTATGGGCTGGGTATGTTCATGGGTAGAAGTATTTGAACCTTCAAAGTAAACCAGTCCTGCTAGCTTTCTTTGTAATGGCATCGCAACTGTATGGTTTTGTATATTCAAATTAACCAATTTAATCCCTTCTTACAAATCCAGAATTCAGTCTTGACTGCTGAATGGATAGCCAAGTGTCCAATGGGTGGGCTGAACTTGGTTCTCTAAAGCTGGCATGTAGAATCGATCTGGATCAGATCATGTTTGTGAGCCCAACGGCCTGTTGGCGTGATAGCAACGATTTCGAGGCCCTTTTCATCGCACCCTACCCCCCTTCTGCAATGTGATATTTTTGGATTGATAATATACTCAGATTATAGTTGTTATTCAATACACTGTCGGAGTTTCAGAATTGAATACATCCTTCTCCTTCTTTAGAGGAAGAGAGTGGACATAGGCTAGACGCGTGAGTTGAGTATTCCACATGTCTCTGAATAGTAGATAAATGACTCTGCTGTGACCTGAAATATAAATTGGACATTCAAGTTTAGCTTGTGATCTTGGGGTTATGATAGCTATACTGTAAGACTTTATGTATTCAAGAACCATGTTGTCATCGTGGAGATGGTGTTTAATATTAGGAGAAACGGACGATTACTTCTTAGGCTTTGATAACATACGAACTCTATAGAAACACACTCGAATATGGCTTTCCATATAAATTTGGCCATGCTTCTTCGCTCTCATCACCCATCTCTGCTATACTAAGAAGTAGAGCAAGTACAGTTGACAATGTAAATCGAGGTGATACGTTTTAGACAACAAGTATCGAAACAACATCAGATACTTCGCGTAAGAACTCCGAACGCGACATGAGTGATAACTACAATGGAGTTTTCAACTTAGATAGCAAATCTGATGCACGACCTTCCCTTGAGATAGCTTGGGATCTTGAACTTCACACTGGTTACACCCTTGTAGTGGGCAGAAATTGTGCTTATAGACACAAGCTTCAGATTACAAGTCAAGTCAGACATCGGACGTATTATCTTGTTCACAGGAGAATTTGGAAAGGATTTCGAGACGTGGCAAGGGTAAATGGACTGATTACGATTTATTCATTAACGGAACTGACATATAGTCTCTGTGCGAGACCCTGCCAATACTAGCAACCCCAGAAGCTGGATTAACAAAAAAGGGGAATTGTATGATGATGCACATACAATCTACCTACATAGCGAGCTTGATTGCAGACGAGACATACCTTTGTCAGCTTGCAGACAATCTGCCTACACTTTACCCAGGGATGTGAAGCAGCTCTAAAATGAACTGTTTTCACCATTGATGTATTCAGCATTTCAAGGATAATTTGACAGCAATAAAGCCGACAGACAAATCCGGATAAGTTGTTGCGCTGGATTTCATGAACACCTAGACTTGGAATAAACGAGCTTTCTGCAACACTGTGTGTGGATGATTGCAAGTAAAAGAGAGTGCAATGATTTCCATGTTCAATGTGTTGACAAAAAACCCCGCTGATGACACAAATCAGGGGACATACGGCGAGGTTGATACCATTACAACACCGGAAAGACTTTTACATTGCATGGGAGGTGATAATAAGTCGGGATCAGGCCGGCCTCAATCTGATGAAATTCCAGATGCCTCAGACGTTTAATTTGTGGCAATCTCATTCTCTTGAAGATTCAAATCAGAGTGGAGTATCGATAGACTGTTTGAATTGAAATAGAGAACTTCACCGAAACAATAGAGCTCCTCCCTCTTCTGTCAAAATTATCCTCATAGTCTCAGTCGTCCATACCAGCCACCATGTGTTCCTTTGGAATAACAGCCTCTAACTCTCTAACTGCTTGCCTGACATTTTCGCCAAAATCGACTGAGGGGCCAGCGCTTCCCATCATCATTTTCAATCGACCGGTTGTGTCGGTGACAATCATCTTCAGCATCAAGGTTCGTGCACACACTTCTTGAAATACCTTCAATGCAGCATTTTCACCTGTGCCTATTGTGAGTGTCAGTGGAATGGTAACACTCGAGGAACATTTGGCCACGAAAGTATCCCAACAATCCAAGGCTTAACAATTATTCTAATCACTCAACGGGGTTTAGAAATTGAAAGCCTCTAGATATGAAACATCAAATTTCTGGCTACGATCTGGACTATTGTAACCCCTATACAATGCGCCAAACAGGGGGGAAATATACATACCTGGTGATCCTGTGCTGAATTGATCGACATGTTGGAGAGGACGTCCATTTAGAATGTTATCGTATTCGAGAAGCATGTAGCGACCACGCTTTACAAAATCCCAGAGAAAGAAGAGACTTGGACTTGGCTTGTGCGAGCTCCAGGAGGGATGTGCTTCTAATTCTCTATGCATGGGTCAGCGTTGGCAAAAGAACGTTCGGGAAGGATGGATTCACTCTATGACCTTCTCCAAACGGGTCTTGATATCATCTCGGAGTTGAGCTGGGACGGGCGCCATGATGGGCCTTCTCTGTTTCTTGCTAAAATTTTAAGGGATTTCAATCGGGAGAAGAGAATGTATCATTGGAATGACGAATGTAGCCCCCTATTTGTGGTTGTGAAGTAGGTAATATGATTGACTTCCGTGTTTGGATATTTGGATATTTTCATGTTTGCATGTTTGCATGTTTCCAAAGAGACGCAAAGATCGACACTAAACCTTATAGGTTAAGGATTGACATGAACGTGTCAATCAGTGAATCAAATCCGTACACTTAGAACTCATATATGCATGTAAATATCAGGGTGAACATCCGCCAATCTACCTAGGTCAGTAGGTGTACTCCAGCCCCATCCATTGGCATCGAGGTCAGCTGGAGGATGATATTGCACATCGTGAATTTCACTCTCTGTACAGCCATGATTGTTTAATGAATGAGTGGTAGCACGACTCAGTGATCATACGGTATTCAAAACCGTTGATATATTTCGCCAAACTTGTTTGGGTATATAAACACTTGTTACCGATAACATTCCATCAAACGTTTGGAATGAATGAACGATTGGATCAATTTTGGTTGAATCAAGGGTTGTCCTGTCCTGTCTTCGAATTCCTACCTACCTGGTACCTACTCACCGGTGCGTACGAGCGTACCACTCACCAGCTCACCATTTCCCCTATTTAAATGAAACATCGGCAGAAGAAGAAATCACCCCCCGACGATCTGGCCAGAAGTGATCCGTGCGCATTGTTGACCCTCCAATTGAGACTAGTGCCCCCTCCATTAGCGTCTCTCAAACTCAACACGCTAAGGTACCGGTAAACGTAACTTTGTTGTATCTTAGTTGTCACCTTCGTACCTGGTGAAACTCAATTGATAAAACATTTTCTCTTTCTCTTTTCTTTATACTGGAAGGAAAGTCGAAAGGAAAGATGACTTCCAATCCTCAGAGTACCAATGGCTCTGAGAGCGAATTCGAGTTCATCGAAACCCCAAAAGCTCCCACACCGACCTTTGAAAAGTTCGAGCCATGTGGTGTAAGGACAACAGCTGTAAGTTCATAAAAATTTTTCCAGAATTTCTTCATATCTGTCAACTTGGATTTGGAGCAAACAAGAAGGTCAATTGACTCTAACATATTATGGCAATTAGTACCCAGCTATCAAGAATGCCCCTCTGCCTGCAGATGCTTCTGGCAATGATAGTTTCTCGAACACCCTCCTTTTCTCCCTCATTGGTGGTGTCCCTCTATACTTCTCCTGGAAGGTTGGTGGTGGATTCAAGACTACCATTTTCTTTGGTCTCATCACCACTATTCCCATTCTCCTCGCATTCTGGACAGTATTCTCCAGCTTCTCTCCACGCAAAAATGAGAAGGCCAAGTACCCAGGACGTCCAGTCGAGCATTATCTTACCTTTAAGAACGAAGCCGATAAAATAAAATACAGCGGAAAGAACAAGATTCCTATGGAAACTTTCCACAACATGTACTTCGATGGAGAAGTTGACTTCAACGGTGACGCCCTCGAGGTTCTCGAGTACCGTCACGACTGGGCAAGCTTCAAGTTCACAATTAGTCTTTTCAAATATGTTTTCTTCAACTTCGCACCAGAAGTTATCATGCACACTCGCTCCCAGGGTAAGTGGCAGAAGATCTTCCTTTATATGAAAACTACTAACAACGTCGCAGATGAGGAACAAGTCCGTGATCACTACGATCGGGGTGACGACTTCTATGGCTGGTTCCTTGGTCCACGAATGATCTATACCTCCGGTGTTATTTCTGACATTAACCGTGAAGAAACTTTGGAAGAATTGCAGGATAACAAACTCGCCATTGTCTGTGAAAAGATTGGTCTTAAGCCTGGTGAGAAGATGTTGGACATTGGTTGTGGATGGGGAACCTTGGCCAAATTCGCCAGTGTTAACTTTGGTGCAAAGGCTACTGGTATCACTCTTGGCCGTAACCAAACTGCCTGGGGTAACAATGGACTTCGCAAAGCTGGTATTCCTGAAGAACAGAGTAAGATTTTGTGCATGGATTACCGTGATATTCCAGTTCCCGAGGGAGGTTATGACAAGATTACATGTCTCGAGATGGCTGAGCACGTTGGTATCCGTCACTTGACAAGCTTCTTGAAGCAATGCCACGATATGCTCGAGGATGATGGAGTTATGTTCCTTCAAGTAGCTGGTTTAAGAAAGACTTGGCAATACGAGGATCTCATCTGGGGTCTTTTCATGAACAGATACATCTTCCCTGGTGCTGACGCTTCTACTCCTCTCAACAACTATATTAACTCCCTCGAGAGCGCCGGATTCGAAGTTAAGGGTGTCGACACTATTGGTGTTCACTACTCGGCAACATTGTGGAGATGGTACAGAAACTGGATGGCCAACAAGGAGAAGGTTGTCGCTAAATACGGTAACAGATGGTTTAGAGTAAGTCTTCATGATTGCACGAATGGTCGCACATACTGACAATAACAGATTTGGGAATACTTCCTCGCTTCCTCTACTATTATCTCCCGTCAAGGATCTGCCACCTGTTACCAAATTACATTGGTAAAGAATCTCAACTCTGTCCACCGTATTGAGGGAATTGCAACACAATTCGGATTATCTGGCGCACTAGCTGCCGCCAAAGCCGATGTTCAGGCATACCGATCCAGAAAAGCTGCAGGTAGTGTCAGTGAAGATGTCGCCAGCGCATAAATGATTTGATTGAATGATTGAATGAATATATTACAATCGGTAAAAGGGTTTGGAGAGCCCAACTAAGATATTCAAGTATCTATATATTTATCGATGGGATACACAGAGCTAGATGTGTGACTGTATTCGTGGCTATATGCCAAAAGGGGATGAAGGGCCAGACCTTATGTAGAAAAGCTTCGAGCTTGTGGTATAATCTAGGTGATGCAAGTACTTGTGTACCTGAACACATGTAGCTTCAATCAATGATTTTTCGTACCAAAATGATTGAGAGTGATTCAAATACACGAATATTTCCAATCAGTGACTTCAATTGACGTTGAAACATCAATGTTGAATGATGATACGATACACATTTATTCAGCCCCTTTAACATTTTGTCGCAAAATCGGTGAAACTTGGGTTGTATGTATTTGTATATTAGAGGTCGCTAAGCCCAGCCTCTATGGTAACAGATTACCTGAGCTTCGTCATTTCGACCCCCGGACCGTGGTATCTTCTACCAACCTCGAACCCATTCCTTCAAATAAATGTCACAAATCTATCTTTCTTCAAACCTATTTCTTTTTTGTTCATACTCATAATGTTTTCGGGGTCGAACTCGTACCTTGGTGGTAACACTGGCCGCCAACCACCACAACAGCCGCAACAACAATATGGTGGTTTCCAGCCAAACCAAGGTTTCCAACCACAGCAGACGGGTTTCCAGCCACAACAGACTGGTTTTCAACCTCAACCCACTGGATATGGAAATCCAGCTCCTTTACAACCCAATTTCACGGGTTATCCACTTCAAGCACAGCCTACGGGATATCCTCAGCAATCTCAAGCAGGCTTCCCTGGAGGCCAGCAGCAACAGCAGCAGTTCAACAATGCTCCTCAACAGCAGAACTTCCAAACGGGAGCTCCCCCAATGCCGCAGATCCCGCAGCAATTCCAGCAGCCTCAACAGATGCAACAAGCTCAACCACCCCCTGCGCCTCCTGTGCAGCAACCACAAGCGACCGGATTTGCCGCAATGGCTGATTCATTTAAACCTGCTGTTGCAGAACCATCGAAGCCAAGAGGTCGCAGAGCCTCCAAGGGGGGAGCAAAGATACCTAGTATAAGACTTTCCTTCATCACAGCCCAGGATCAAGCAAAGTTCGAAACTCTTTTCAAGTCCGCTGTTGGGGACGGGCAAACACTTTCTGGAGAGAAATCGAGGGATCTTTTACTACGCTCAAAACTAGACGGGAACTCTCTGTCGCAGATATGGTAAGCATTAAATTATTCAATGGATATAGTGTTGTGCTTATGATTATTATAGGACCCTCGCAGATACTACAAGATCTGGACAGCTGCATTTTCCCGAATTCGCATTAGCTATGTACCTCTGCAATCTCAAGCTAGTCGGCAAACAATTACCATCCGTGCTTCCCGATGTTATCAAAAATGAAGTTTCTAGCATGGTGGATATCATAAATTTCGCCATAGATGATGATGCACCAGCGGCAACGAATGCGCCCAATTTTGATGGTCGTCAAAACACCGCAACACCTCCGACTATCCAACAGCCACAGCCAATGGCGTCTAACTCCGCACTTCTCACTGCGCAAATGACTGGTTACCCTGGACAGCAGAATAACTTTTCGGGTGGATTTCAACCTCAGCAAACTGGTTTCCAGGGCTCAATGCAAACTGGCTTTCCTGGACAGCAAGGAGGATTGCAGCCTCAGCAAACCGGGTACAATCCAACGTCAAATCCGCAAGCAACGGGATACAATGGACCACGCCCTCCAATGCCTCCTATGCCATCCAACTTCAGTTCTCACTTGTCTCCCGCTCAGACGGGCATGCAAGGCGGAATGATCGCGCCACTGAATAGCCAGCCTACAGGAGTCGATGGCCAATGGGGTTTGGTCAATGCGCCAGCCCCCAATATTGATCTACTACATTCCCGGATGATGCCGCAACAAGGTCGAGAACAAGGCAACTTTACAACAGCCGGTATAACAGGCAATGCTGAAATTCCATGGGGAATTACGAAAGAAGAGAAGACCAGATACGATTCCGTTTTCAAAGCTTGGGATGGGTTTGGTAAAGGATATATTAGCGGTGATGTCGCCATTGAAGTTTTCGGGCAGAGTGGTCTCGAGAAGCCGGACCTGGAGCGCGTGTGGACCTTAGCAGATCACGGCAACAAGGGGAAGCTTAATATGGATGAATTCGCGGTCGCTATGCATTTGATTTATCGAAAGCTCAATGGATATCCTCTACCAGCCCAACTACCTCCGGCGCTTATACCCCCTTCCACTCGTAACTTCAATGATTCGATTGGGGCTGTCAAATCTTTACTTCACCAAGAATCCAATTTCCGCAAGAACTCTGGTGCTACCCTTTTGCCACAAAAGACTGGAGTGAGCTACCTCAAAAACCATTCTTTCCGTGGTGACGCTGTTCCAGGTCGCACGGGCCGTAAAGATGCCACAGTATATAAAAACAACGACGATGATGTTGGATATAAATCTAGTGCTCGTCGCAGACTCGGAGCCACTTCTCCACGACCTTCGTCTCCGGGATCAACAACTTCTAACGATGAACTTTCTCTAGAGCAACTTAGAAAGAAAATTGCGGAGAGACAAGTGATACTAGATGCAATTGATTTCAAGGCCGAAAATGCGGCAGATGAAGATGATGCCCTTGATCGTAAAGACCGCCGTGAAGCTGAGGATCTGTATCGCCGCATTCGTCGTATTCAAGAGGATATTGATGCACATCCAGATGCATCGTTGCGTAACGTTGATTCCGGCGCCGAGCGTCGTGCTTTGAAAAGGCAGTTGCAGACATTAACGGATAAGCTTCCAGATATTGCTTCACGTGTCCGAAGAACAGAAAGAAGTATTGCTGATGCCAAGCTTGAATTGTTCCGTCTAAAGGATGCTAAAGCTCACCCTGGAAGTGCCTCTAGCATTGTTGGAACCGGTCCCGGCGGCGCTATCACCGAATCAGATAGACTCAAAGCAAGAGCTAAGGCCATGATGCAACAACGTTCTGCTGCTCTTACTGGTAAGAAGATTGAGACGAGTAATGATGACTTGGATGCGCCAAAACGCCTAGAAGAAGAAAATCTCAAGATTCGAACCGAGAAGGAAAACAACGAGCGCATGGTTCAAGATGTTGAAGAAAGCGTCCGTGATTTTTCACGAGGTTTGGAGGACAGCCTAAAAGATGGCGGTGAGAGCTCATCCAGTGAGCATGAGAAGAGACGCTGGGAAGATGGGCTAGGTGTTGAGGATGAAGTCAAAGATTTCATTTTCGATTTGCAAAGGAGCAGTAGGAGTGCCAGAGTTCGAACTGATGATCGCAGCAGAGAGAATCCTCGTACTGAAGTGTCTCATGCTAGCCCTGCTCCAGCAGCTCGTAGCGAAACTCCATCGTCGCAGCCATCATCTACGCCAGCCCCTGCTGGAGGTTCATACTCACAATACAAGACTCCAGAAGATAGAGCAGCTTACATCAAGCAACAGGCTGAGAAGCGCATGGCTGAGCGTCTGGCTGCTCTTGGCATCAAAGCACCATCTAAATCTGGGGAGACAACACAACAGAGATTGGAGCGTGAAAAGAATGAGCGTGCAGCCAAACTCAGACAAGCAGAAGAGGAAGATGCTAAACGTGAAGCCGAAAGGCAAGCTAGAATTGCCGAAGAGCAGGGTGTACCTCCACCTGCACCTGAGCAACCAAAGGAGACCGCCAAAAAGCCACCTCCACCTCCTTCAAGGAAGGCCGCCAGAAGTGACGCTAGTGAACGCAAGGCCGAAGAGGAAAGAATCATTAACGAACAAAAGGCACAAATTACTGCCACAAATGAGCTAGAGTAAGCGAAACTTGTATCTGACTTCTTCTACACTGCTAACATTCACAGGGACGACGCTCAACGACAAGAGATTGAGCTTGCAAAGGAACGCGAGGCGGCTCAGGCTCGTATCAAGGCCTTAGAAGACCAAATGAAGGCCGGAAAATTGAAGAAAGAAGAGGAGAAAAAGAAGAGAAAGGCTCTTCAAGCTGAGACCAAACAACAAGAAGCTCGTCTCGCAGCTCAACGCGCAGAAATTGAAGCCGCACAAGCACGCGAAAGAGAATTGCAACGTCAACTGGAAGCTATTGATGATTCTGATTCATCTGATGACGACGAAGGTCCGGAGCAGGTTACCCCTCAAGCATCAACGCCCACTCAAGGAAGCCAAGAACTTGAGCGCAAAGAACCTTCTCCACCACCTCCGCCACCTTCAATCCCAGTTGTTGTATCGCCAGTCCCTGCTGCTGCAACAACAATAAGTCTCCCATCACCAACCCCACAAGTTACTAGCCCTGTCGTCAGCCCTTCAGTTGATACAGAGACCCGCAATCCTTTCTTGAAGAAAATGGCTCAATCCGGTGACGCACCTACTGCATCTACCGCATCTAACAATCCATTTCATCGCCTTCCTGCCCAAGAACTTTCAACGCCTGCACCAATTCAAGTTCAACCAACAGGTAACAGGCCATCTCGCGTTCGTCCGGAAGAAGATGATTGGGATGTTGTTGGATCTGACAAAGAGGATGATTCCTCTGACGATGAAGGACCTGGTGCAGGTGGCGCGCGTCATTTGGCATCAATCCTTTTTGGAACCATGGCACCTCCTCGCCCCTTATCATCCATGGGCAACGAAGCCACATCTGCGCCTGAATCTCCTGCTGTAGCTTCTCCACCGGCGGCAACTCCACCACCTCCACCTCCAGTACCTAACTTCAATGCTCCACCACCCCCTCCAATGCCATCAGCCGGTGCGCCAGGTGGTCCTCCTCCGCCACCACCTCCTCCACCAGGGATGGGCGCTCCTCCGCCACCACCAATGCCTCCAATGGGAGGCGCTCCTGCTCCACCAGCAGGTGGACGACCAGCTGGTCTCTTGGGTGAAATTCAAATGGGGCGATCATTGAAAAAGACACAGACTAAAGATAAGAGTGCAGCTGCTGTTGCTGGAAGGGTCTTGGATTAAATACCTCTTTAACCATTGAAAGAGACAAGATGAAATGGAGGATTGTGAGAGAATGGATTGTATCATAAAGTACTTTTGGTTCATAGTATTGGGCAAGGGGACATAGGTATGGGAGGTACGAAACAGGAAAGATAAGAGACGAGCATAATTTGTAGTCGAAGAAGTAGCAATTTGAAAACATCCTTTCGTTTTGATAACTATCTGATGCTTTTATCGCAGCGCAAGTTTTGTGGTTTTGCATTTGGAAATGATATTTATTGATCGTCTTGATTTCTATCTTCACATTTTGATTCATCTAGGTCTTACTGTCACAACAGAGCCCAATAAAAATCCTTCCATGAGTTACGCATAAATTATGGAGCTTCGACTAAGAAACTCAGGTTGCAGGTACTGCTAAAACAGGATCATGCCATGCTCGTTAATCTTTCCAAAAAAAAAAAGAGAAATTCTTCCATATTGTGCGTTTGGTATGAATGCAAGGGAATTACAGTACCCTGTGGGGCACCACGCATAATTATTTAACTAGTTAAAACTCAGATGTCAAATCTGACCTGCTTTATTCACACAATCGTTCTCTTTCCTCCATTCCAGAGCATTGTTCATGATGATTCCCATAATCTCAAAATGGAGCTCCAATAGTTTTGTCCCGCAACTCATCCGCCTGTCCATATATCAATTGTTCGCTCGCCCACGCTCTATCTTCTGGATTCATTCTCTCCAACATCTCCCTAATCCTAGCTTCGGCCTCTTCCTCCATCCTCGCTTGCGACATTTTTTCCGTGTCTCGGTGGGATAATGGTGCACCTCTAAACGGTCTGGGGAACCCTGGCATATCTTCCATGACTCGCATTTCCAGATCCCCACACTTTCCAGACTCAAATTCCCCTCCGTTGTATACTGAATGAGGCCATATCGTCGGTCTCGATCTGCGTTTGCGATGAAACCAGGAAAATCGCAAGTGCGAAGATTCTGGGCTCAAGGTCCAATCGTCATCCCTGACAGGATGTAAGAAGCGTTCTGGAACGGGAATTTTTAAGCAGAGGATGAGGAGGAAAGCGACAAATACGCTCACTGAAGCGACTATAACCGGCACGACAACTGCCGAATTGATATCATTCGAGCCAAAAGGTTTTGTAGGCAGTGAGGTATCCGTTGGAGAGGCAGGTACATCGGCGGGAGTAGCGATGGATAGAATATCCGCCATTGTCCAGGCATATTGGGAAGCCAAGAGCGAGGCTAAAAATACTAAACGTCGCATCGTGAGACGATGAATCCTTTTGCCTGATTAGAAGGCGCGAGGAACGACATTTGTGCTCTGCGTAAAGTAGCACACACAGCAAACGAGGCAAACGGAGCAAAAGACTCGAGTGTGAGCGAACACGGATATTTATGGGAACTTGTTGCAGCGCTCCTCGGAAAAGATGGCTAAATGCGAGGGTATTACTTAGTAGAGTCTCATTTGTCTGGAGAAGGAGAGGTCCACACGGAAGACTAACTGGAAGAGAATTATGATTATTATTTCATCCTAGCTTTGTTCCTTCGCTGCAACCCCCGCAAATACTTCCTTCACCGTACCGTGAGATGCTGATTTTGTGCCACCGTGGTTAGGGATTCCAATTGATGGCTGTAGAGATCTAGCCTATTTGACGAGATATACATTGCTATGCCTCTTTAATGCTGCAAGTGAATGAGTGGCTTGTGAGATACTAGGTTATTATTTTTGTTGAGTGCTATCATACTACTATTACCCGCATCCTAGCTCTCGAAGGGTTACATTGCATTTTTGATACTCGATAATTAGAACATCTCTGTACCTAAGATGTTTCTTCTACCTGGACCCCAGTACTACATCATTATGCTTCTCTTTGCAGGTGTCTCATTTATTGCAGGTACGGCTACATAAGTTTCATCACGATTATACACATAGTATAGCGCTTACTAGAAATCCAGTGAAGATCATATAATCATCAGCTTATGTATCTAGTAAGTCTCAAGTAGACTAGACTCAAACAATACCTTCGTAAAAAGTACTGGCGAGACTGGGTCATATTTATCCGGAAATCAAGCACATGGTCTCACGATATAAATACACATGCGATTTCTCTCATGATTCTATCAGTTCCAATTCTCGAACAACCCAGTAGTTTGGACTGGGGAAATAATATACACAAGGTACAGTCCATCCTACGATATTGAATTGGAGAAAAGCAATCAAAAACCCTCTCCCTCTCTCACACAATGCAAACGTTTCTGCACCACCCCGCTCATCTCAGCAGATGAATCATCACTCTAGACAAAAATCGGTTAATTAATCGCTCGTTTGCCAACCCGCCATACTAACCTCCACACTTCTCCTCGTACTTTCCCCGCAATCCTTCGCCCTGATATCTTCCCGTCCCAAAGTCTGTGTGACTCCTTCCCCAATTCACAAAATCAACTAACAAAACCACTTTCATCTCATGTCGCGAGACATCCCCCAACAGACCAATATCACGCGAGCAAACAAACAGAGATTTCTGCTCACCAGAAAATTCGCCCACATGCTCAATACTACGACACCTTTTGGTGTGGATCCTATGTAGCTCAGCCATGCGAGATGATTGGTTGTATAACCCCGCGATGAGCAGCTGACAAGCCCTCAAGCCGGAGATGTAATTGGTGGTAAGGGTGCTGAGGATCTTTGGTGTCCCATCTGCATGAATATTGTTAGGGCGTGTGCCAATTTTGTATGTACGTGGTGGTTTGAGTTCCCTTCCATTACTGTGGTGAGTCGGGCTTGGATATACAACGTGCTGTTGTCCTTCTCGCTCATTCATAGACGGAAGAAAAACTCCGTTCTCCGATTGCATTTGTGGTATCAAACCATCATGTACAATGTGTATGAAGATAGGTAGGTATCTTGATTCGAAGTTGGAACAGTGATAGATGATCGAGACTATTCGAGATCTTCTCATGATCACGTACAGAGTACATGTCTGTACCTACTGTCATCAACCCAACCCAACTACCAAAAAGACGAGCCTGAAATCCCAATTTCGACATTTTGAGGTGATACTTAGGCACGAAATGAAATGTTCCCAAACTCACAAACCTTGGAATTGAATACCAACGGCGTGCAGTATCATCCTAGCTTGCATGCGCACAGATATTAGTTTGACGTTGTATCACCCCTATACATTTTATGGCTAACTGTACTACTGTCATCTCATAAATTGGAATATGCAAATACTGTTGCGGTTGCCGAATACTACTGTATATATGTCGGTATGAAATGTTGAAATATCGGTAATGATATGTTGCCGAAGAAACAACCTCGCCGATGCTTTGGACTAAGGGTGCCGAATCAGTATCATGGATGATATTATCTGATTCTCGCATTGTATATTAGATTCGATCAATCAATGACTCCAGTACAATTCTGTAGTGTCACTTGCTATGTGTATACATCGCAAATTCGGAAAATGATCTCATGTCGTTTTATTGACATGCCACAGAAATATAAGTGTCCAAAACATACAAGATCGCCCCCCTCGCCCTTACCTTGGATTGAAACTGTGAATTTCAAGATATGAACAATTTGGGAATTGGAATAGGGTCTGGGTTAGATAGGGGCAGAGTCTTACGATGTTCAAATGGAATTTTCAAAACAAGATATGAATCATATCACGAAATGCTAATGATATCAAATCAACACCGTAGTGTGCTTTGTGATTAAGGATGTAACGTAAAGAGCTGCAGTAGTCTAGTAACAGTATAGTATAATTCCAGCCCGGCATTTCTCTCCCAAACATTCTCTCAAGCCTCGAGAGTCACGCGATGATAGAATACACAGTAGCCACCCAATTCATGCCTCAACATTTGGAGAACGGACCCTTGAATAGCCAGTCACCTACCTGCTCTAACATTTCTTCTGTTCTGAGTTTCCGCATGGCCTCTGCATCAGGTCCCCTGTTATCCATCAAATCATGAGTGAAAGCATGGCGAACATCCCTTACTAGCGTCCATTTACAACCATCCTTTTCAAAACCATACATCCCATCCTCGCGTTCTTTTTCATTCAAATCGGCAAGATCAAAAGCTGTGTCTCTAGCTTCCTTGGCTAGCATATCGTACTCTGCCCCTATTATATATATCCATTTAGGTACATCATTCTTGCTCACAAATCGAGTGCTCAATAATGGATCTCGAAGATTCTGACCAACAGGAATATGACCCCATTCGAATACTGGTCCAAAATCTGGCAGATCATCCAAGTCCTTTGCATTTCGATATGGGCGCGAGGCTTTCTTCTCGTCCGGCGTGAGCGTGAAGTCCATTACTGGATACCAAGCTATTACCCCGTTCAATCTTTCTCGCAATCCAGGTACTTGAACAGCGGACAAAGCCAAGTTTCCTCCTGCACTGAAACCTCCCAAGACCACACGCTTCTTGTCAATATTCAGATCGGAATTGTCGATTGTGGCTTGCGCAATAGCAACAACATCGTTTGTCAATGCCGGGAATCTATTCGAAGGAGCCTGGCTGTATTCAATGCTGACAACGATGATACTGAAACGATTCGCCATCATAGCACAGATCTCATCATCGAATTCGGCAGACATCAAAGCATGCCCTCCACCGTGGAGATCGAGATATAGTGGAAGCGGTTCATCGTCCGCTTGCTTAGTCGTTGGAACAAAGATTCGCGTTCGCAGATTTGGTCGACATGGATATGCCAAGAGCCTGGTAGGACGAGATTCAGGAGGTGTTGGTCGTAGAAGGCGCAGGATTTTGAAGGTTACTACAATAGCTATCTTCAATCCCCAAAGCTGAATGAAATACCAGGCGCGAGTGAGGATTGGAAGTTGTGGCTGGACCAGATCTTTATTCTTTTCAACGCATTCACGGCCATACTTGTTAGAAACCATCTTGCGATCTGTGATCTCGTGAATGTAAATTAAAATAAAGGGGCGCGCATTTTTAAATACTGCTCAGTAGAGAGATCCTATACCTAGCTTGAGACAGTCATCCTATTGGAGGATAGTACTGCAAGTACAAGGTTGCATTGGAAATAATATCGCGCATTTGCGAAACTCTTCGATACCAACCAACTTACAATGTTGTTTTGTTTAACAGTCTCAATAACAGATCGCATCGAGAGGTTTTCAACAGATGTGTCGAAATCATAATTCAAGAACACTTGGGACGAACCAACCTTGGAAGCTTTAACCTTAACTAATATGCCCCACCAAACATTGCATAAAACACGTGATCTACATGGAGGGAAGACTGCTACCGACCAAAAACTTCTCTGCTGTTATTGGTATGAAGAAAGCTAAAAGCTGAAGAACAAAATGACAGAAAACATCAAGAGTCTGGTAAATTGGGCCACAGCTTCTGGGGCTTATCTTCATCCTGACGTTGAAATTTATAAAGATGCAGTAACAGGATTATCGTTCAAAGCGCAACAGACGATAGCTCCTCAAACAAGTATTGTGCGATGCTCATACCAAATTTCTCTATCATATCTAAATGCGATTGGCGCGTATTCTGAATTTCCCTCTACCGATCCATTTCCTGTTGAGTTCTTGGAGAATTTGAAACAAGATGATCCCAACATTATTGGTCACTTTTTCCTCATACAGCAATATTTGAAGGGTGATCAATCTCCATGGTGGCAGTATATCAGATTACTTCCTCAGCCAAATGATCCCAAAAGCCTTGGGATTCCTATCTGGTGGCCAGAAGAAGATCAAGAATTCCTCACCGGGACAAATGCAGAACCTCCACTTCAGAAGCGAGAACAGATGTGGAGAGATCAGTGGAAGAAAGGGGTTGTGCTTCTGAGGGAATTGCCAAACCATAAAGAATACAGTTATATCCTGTACCAATGGGCTGCTACTATCTTTGATAGTCGAAGTTTTCGACCATCCTTGACAGTTTGTCCTGAAGCTTTGAGTCGGAGCTCTACAGATACAGATCTCAATCTAGATCATATTCGCAATGATAGGTTTTCGATCTTATATCCACTTGTTGATATAGGCAATCATAATGGTATCAATCAAGTAGAGTGGAGAAAAGACCCCATCTCCAATTCCTTCGATCTAGTCCATTCTGCTGGTGTCTCACAGGGAGATCAGATTTACAATTACTATGGAAACAAATCAAATAGCGAATTACTAGTTGGCTACGGTTTCATTCTTCCAAACGATCTTGTGAATCGAAATATTGCCAATCTCAAATTGACTCCAGATCATGATGCTATTCAATTGCGCAGAAGTCAGAATTGTCACAATCCTCCAGACCCAAGGCAGCCCGAGGAGGAATTCATGTTTGCTGTGCAACCACCATCTGCAAACGGGTCACACGATTCTAGGATCTTGGAATTTCACAGCTTTGGAGAAGGTCTAGTGGATCTTATTTGCTGTATTGTAGCAAATGAACGAGAGCGTTCATACATGTTGAAGTTTCCGGAAATATGCCCAGAAAGAATTGCACAGCCCTTCCAAAGCCCTCTATGTAGAGCAGTGTTACAGGCAATACTTATTATCCAATCTAAGCTCGCATACGAAATTGAGAAGATTGAACAAATCGGTGCAAGTCTAGGGTAAACCATCCTCGTTCCTGTCTTTGACCAAGCTAACAATATCTCAGCCCCCCTCAAAATTACAATCAATCCCTCGCTCTGAATTACCGGAACCTCCAACTCACCACCTTACGATCCGCTCTTCAACCCCTAGATCTTCTAACCACACCAATCCTCACCCCATCCCTCGAACTCTCACCACATTCTTCAACAGGCACTTTGAAAATCCTCTCAATCGAACAGGCCTACTCACTACTCACCCAACACTACCCATCCCTCTCTACCAGCATCCACAATCTCATCGCCTCAGACCAAGAAGAAGAACTTCCTCTAGATTGGTCTGTCCTTCTCGAAGATTGGAATTTCACATACTGGACTCTATGGGTTTACATCATCATGCTCAAGCGATCCGACCAAAAAACTCTTGCGGCTATACACCCAGCATTAGAAAAATGGATTCGAGATGGAACTTTGTGAGTTTTTTCTTCTTTTCATTTTCATTCCTTCTCCTCCCTTACCCTCCTTATCCTATCCATCCACCCAACCCAAACTAACCCACCACCCCCACCACCACAGAATCTTCTCCCCCCAAACCCCCACTCCCACCTTCCACGGCGCCATCGACGAACACGAAACCCTCACAACCACCCTCTCCCAACTACGAAAACTGTACCCAGAACTTTTCAACCTCCAAAATGTAAACCACGAGCACCTCCTCAATCTCGCAAGTTGTGTGGTCAAGGAACAGACATTTACGGCGCCGTATGTCATGATAGATGGGGCGGCGAAGGGAAATCGGATAAGTCAGTTGGTGGTGTGTATTTGGGGTGAGGAGGTATGATATTTGAGGGGTTTGAGGGGGTTGGAAAAGTTTTGTGTTATTTGTGATGTTTTGATAGATGGATGATTGGAATTCGAGATGCACAATTAGTGATGGGTTTATGTGCACTCAGAACTTTTCGGTAGAGTCTATTGTGTATAGTCGTCGAGATTTAAGTAACGACAAGGGACTTGTGGGTCTCGAAATGAATGAGGTTAACCCTAAAGATCTTAAATCTGATGAATTACAAAGCAAACTCAAATATCCTCTCTTAATGCAACAAGACTCCAAACACTGCATTACAATCAACTAACCCACAACCCATAAACCATACATAACACACAACACACCACAAATCCCACCCACCTACCCATCTCCCTTTCCCCACACCTCATCCATCTCCTCCCCCCCACAAACCTCCCCCCACTCAATCCACATCCTCTCACCCGTCCACACGCCACCCCTCCCTCCTCTCCCATCAATCCACGTCCCTCTTTCTCCCTCTCCCTTCCCATCCCCTCCCACCACCCACCTCTGTTCTCCCACTCCTTTCGTACACACTTCCCAGAGCTGTTTCCCCCATTTTCTCCACCAGGTTTTTTCCCATATTTGTTTTTGTGAGGATTCTTCATCTTTTCTATTTTTCTCTTTTTCTTTCTCTCTCTCTTTCTTTGCGTCTTTCTCCTGCCCACCCAGACCAGAACCAGAATCAGAACCAGAACCAGAACTAGAACCAGAACCAGAACCAAAATCTAAACCCAACCCAAAAGAAAAAGACACCGGAACCCGAAGATTTAAATTTAAATTCACCCCACTGAAACCACCATCACCATCACTATACGTAAGAAATGGTATAGAATCCCACGAAACATTTTTCTCTCTCGCCGCTCTGAGATCATTGACCGCTTGACTGATATCTTTTTCTTTACCCGCGTCTTTATCTGTATCCACATCTGGGACACCGCATCCATCCAGCGGTCCAGGAATATTTTCCAATTCCGCAGATAATATCGTGATATCTCTCACTGGCTCCTTGATAACTCCTCTTCTGCTCACGATCTGCTTCCTGCTTTCGTTTTCTCCAATCGTCAAAATTTTCAGTTCCTCCCCCGATTTCCCTACCGTGTGAAAAATCCCCGATGCATAATCTACTCCGATTCCAAACTCCCCATCACCCCTCTCGCTATTCCCGCCTACCCCCAACGTCCGATTCCCATTCCCATTCCCATTCCTCTCTCTACCTCCCCGCCCCCTCCCCTCGCCAGAAATCAAACCCCCCAAAACCCCCTCCAACCACCCCTTCCATCTCCAATCCTCCGCCCTCCGTCTCTCTACTCTTCCCCCTTCCTGTTCGCAAAAAATCTGCGTCATAACCTCCTGTATCGAATATCGTTTCATTCCTTTGCCATCCCCACCCCGCTCTTGCGCAATTTCCCACGCTCGACTCCAAAGTATCTTCATATCCCGCACTTTTCCCATCGCCAACGAGCTTTCGATAAAGCGAGGGTACTCCGTATATTGATCCATCTTTCCCCCTTTATTCTTCAATAAAGGAAATTGGGGAATCACATCCCCATAACAAGATTCCCCCTTCCCCTCTTCCTCATCTCCTCGCTCAGCCCTATCCATCCCAGCACAATCTTTTCTCGCGGCAAAAAGTACTTTCTGTGTATATTTCTGCGATCCCACTTTCCCTATCGTTCCAGTACCCGCCTCAGTACTCTTCTCAACTCCATATTCTTCACGTAACTTCTCATTCACTTCCCTCCTATTTCGCAAAAACCTCCCAATGACAATTTCGCCCGGAAGTTGCAGCCACGTATTCGCATTCAAAAGTAGCACCAAATCATCATCGTGCATATCTTTCCCATTGAGAAAATCAAGCGTATCTTGTATTTCTTGTAACGTGGTTGTTTCTTTCTCTTTCTCTTCAGTTTCATCCGATTTCAATTTAAAGCCTAGGAGTGTTGGAGGTGGGTAATTTAGGATAGATGCGGTGAAGAGAGTTTTGCAGAGATTGAGCGACTTCTTGCGGGCGGGGATTACAAGATGAAATTTTGGAATTGTATCTGTATTGGTGTTGGTTTCATTGTTAGGGAATGGGATAGTGTTGTCCCATTCAGAGCTTTCGATGATTGTGTATGGTGCGAAAGCTCCCGCTAATTTTTCAGGAACGTAGGAGCCAAATTGTGATGCCGAGTGTTGAATTTTATACTAGAGGAAGATATTAGCGAGCCAGGCTTTTTGGGAGGATGCGCATAAATGTTAGAAGTTGGAGATGATTTTCTGCCTGATTGATGGTTATAAATGAACCATACTTACTGCGTGCCATTTACCAAGAACAATGAGAACCACAGAAGATATGAATATTAGAGAGAAGAAGATACGACTACGGAGTCGACTGGGTCGTTTTAATTCTCTTAGCTTATGAGCCATGAAACTCATGGGTGAGATTTTCCGCATGGCAGTTAGGGGAACAGTCCCATTCTCTGTAGGAAACTCCTCATAATTCATCACTAACCACTAGCCACGAAAAAGCAAAACAGAGAATTCTCTTTTCCTCAAATTTCTCGCCTCGATTGACTCATTGGTGTGTTCTTCACTTCAAATGAGCCGAAGTCTCAAAAGGCAGTAGGACTACGTACGATGTCAAGTACAGTAGAATAATGAGTTGCAGGCAAAGAGTGCCAGAGAAAGAGTTTAAGAATGGATTGAAATTGTGAAGACTGTAAACATTGGAAGTAGTTTGACTGGAATGATATCAAGTAAGGGATGAGGCAATTGCTTCTTCGGGAAAAGCAGCCAACTACAACTAAATGTATCATTGGAGGTTTCTTCCTTACGAAAAAAGTTCATCTTAATTTGGTATATTAATATGATATATTGAATCTATAGCAAAAATGATCATTGAGACCATTAACCCAATCTGGCTTCAGATCAATGCAGGGTCGACTCAGCTTATTTGGAGATCTGGTTTGATGAATGAATACAAAATATGGTAAACGAGAACGAAGAAGAAGCAAATATTTGGGTATAATGAGGAACACCCTATTAAGAGCCTCTGAGTCGTTGCAGTTGATTGATAAACCCATATCCACTTTGCGTCCTATTCTCGCCGACACCAGAAATCGATGTTTCTTGGCCTTGAAGAGCCTCGACTCTTTGGCTTAATTGACCATTCTGTTCAGCATCCTTTAATAGATCTCGATGTCTGTCTTCGACCATCTTTGCAAGACTTTCAACAAATTTACTCCTTGCCCGCTCTTCAGCTGTGCCTTTCCACACAAGTGCCAATTCTTTCAATTCTTGTACTCTTTTGGCTGCTGCCTCAATACCATCGACTGGATCATCCCCAATTAACAAATCTGCAATTTCATCGCGTAGTTTCTTGGAAACTTCTTGTCCTTTTTCCTCGGTGCTATGTGCTTCTGACCCCGGCTCAGGAGCGGAAACAGAAAGAAAGGATGAAGTGACCGATACCTCCGATGGTGGAAATGTCCATGCCATTGCATCTCCAAATGTCTTTATAACAGTATCCAATCGTGACCGTACAAGTGTAAGCGTTCGTAATTGTGTCACATAAGGAGGATCGGCGATTTTGGTGCTGTTCGTGTCTTCTGAGGTAGGTGTTTTTGGCATGCTAGCTGTGGCAGATCGCAGCCTAGAGTCTCCAGACTTTGTTGGTCTTCTTGACAGATCATTCTCAAGCCCCCCCGGAACGAACTTTGTAATATCATCATGTAGTCCTTCGGTCAACGCTTCTGATAATCCCAATGTCTCTCCTCGTAGCACTTCCACCTCATAGGCCAATCGGCTTCCACTTCGCAGTATCTCATCGGTGAGTTGTGTAAGAGTAGTCGTAAGTCTAGTGGTGTGTGCGCTAAGATGTGAAAGTAGAGTCTGTGTCTGTGTAGACAGTTCAGCTAAAGGGACGACATTTCTTGAAGACGACGATGTATTCGAAGATTGTAAAGAAGGCAAGGTCGAATTGAGGTAATCTACAGGATCAAAAGCCGGGTTCAAGAACGGTTGGAGAACAGGATCTGCAACGTGGGTAGATTTTGATGGTAAATTTGGTTCTGACGTAGAGACGCCATTTCGAGACTGAGATTGGGGTTGAGGATGTTTGAGCCTAGGATTGTTATTTTGTGAAGAGGGAAGGGTTTTAGAATCCCAAGCCATTTTCACAATGTATCTATGATTGACCGAATTGTGGTTACAATAAAGTAAAGATTGTTTCCCGTGTTTTGTACAATACCTCGAGAATAGCTAATAATATTTTGAGAGCAGCAGGGCTGGTGGGCCATCGAGTTGAATGGTGTCAAGCACTTGGAACATTATTGTGGGACCAGACTTTTTGAGATGGGATGACTAATACGAATAATTGGGGGACCAAAGCCGTGCATGAAGGCTCAACTCGGTCAACGTCTGATGGAGGAAATGATGGAGGAAATTGATGGCGGGGCATTGAGGGATGGCATGGCATGGCATGGCACGTGATGGCCTCATAATAGTAGTGGCTAGTGGCTCGAGAGTGGTAGGTGCGTTTGCATTTCTACCGGGATTATAGCTCTAGGCAGGTCGGTACCTAGCCTCCTAGCCTAGCATCACGGTGTCGGTCATCATGTTTCTTCTTCTGGAGCCAGCCCGTAGATGGATACTAGGTAGGTACTGGGTATTTCTCCTTGTCTCAGACTTCACTTCACTTCATTCCAATTACTTCACTTCACTTCCCTTTTCTTTTCTAACTTCACTCCACTTTACTTCAACCAGTCCGATTTGACCTCAATGTAGTGCTTACCTAATTACCTACCTACCTACCTACCTACCTACCTACCTACCTACCTACCTCCTAGGTATACAATAATACTTAGATTTCTATTTCATTTGCTTCCACAGAGAAGCATCCAGACAGTTCTCAAGCACCCGAGACTGTATTTGGGCTTCATGCTTGGTACATCAAAAACTTATTCTGAGGGATGTCCAAAACTCTGTTTCGTTTGACGGGCCAGACATGGTGGATGTTGATGAGTGATAAAGTTGAATAAGTACCTACCTAGTACCTACTGACGATAAGAAGTCCCAACGTGTTTGAATTCACTTCCAACATTCACCCGGTTGATATTGGCTCGAGATTGGGAAGCTTGGAAAGATTCAATATCTGTGAACGTTCAATTCAATCCTGGGTAGTACCTACCAACTGATGACTAGCACCGCACTTGTACTCCGCATCGTACCAGGCAACCGGACCATTTCGAAATCGTCGACCAATGACAATTGACTTCCCAGATTCGAACCACTGTACACACCAAAACCAAGGCAACTAATCAAAAACACCTATACAAGGCTGCAGGTCGACAACCTTTATACAGCTCTTTCCCTTGTTACCTCCAGCTTCAGAACTTCTTCGATTCTTCAAAGATCTTACGATAAAGAGACTAACAATATCTTTGGACTACAGTACAAGAAGTTGAATATCATTCCCTTCACCTTTTGAGAATCGGATCAAGACTTTGATCTACAAACCCCCAACTCCATCAACTTGATATCAATCATCTCAAAGGTACATCTTCGAGCTGTCGTCAAGTCAAGAAGACCTTGCTACTTTTCAAGATCCTTCTCACCACAATATCTTGTGAATAATTCCAACAGTATCTAGTGGATTCCACATCGAAGCATATTTACAGTATCAACATCTGACCAACAACTTCATTTTTACAGCAAGCTCCCGTCATCTTTTGAAGTTACAGTGTCAGAGATATATCCAATAATTGCGCTGCACGATGACTCGCAAACACTTCCTAGCGGATGTTAAAGAAGCGTCTGAGAAAGGCATCCCTAATGTTATCTCAATCAGTCGGGGAGATGACGATGGTGATGTAAACTTTTGCTTCTTGCATGATTCTACAGAACCCATAGAAATTGGTCTCTTAGCACTAGGTACGTTTTACTATATTCTATATCTCTATCAAACAATCGTCCCCTCTCCTACGTGGACTTGGTCACTGATTACGCACTTGGAAACGAAACGGTGTCTTCAAATGGGGAAAGAAACAAATTGTTCTTCATCATACTGACTTTGATAGATGTTTCCGAGTACCCAAGTGGGAATAATTTTATGATTTTTACCAAGTCTGAAGGGGCTCCAAAGGCTGTCAACGAGGCACTGGAACGACTCATGACCTCCTCAACTGGCGTGCGTTTACCAGAATTGATCAGCAGTATTTCAAAAAAGCTTCACATATTACTTTCGGCAGGTTCGCGAAGATCTCCTATCAGTCTCGACGAAGAGGACGAAGATGATGAGATGGAAGATGCGGAAGAAGACGAAAGCGAAGACGACTCCGGCTTTTCTGACGAAGAAGAAGAAGACTTTCCAGACGAGCCCATAACCTTTTCTAGCGGTAATACTGTATCGGTATCGACTAGTAGACTCACACTAAAAGCTGCTGCACAACTGAACCGACGCATTCGAGCAGACATGCGTACTGTCCGATTGCTGGGTCATCGGATCGGAATTCTGAGCGGCATGAAGGCTGAATCCCAAAGTAGTGTCCTCAGCATCTCCATTCAGGCGACTAAGCTGGGTCTATCGGAAGAGGCTATGCAGGCTTGGGATATTGAGCCTCACCAATATTTGACCTTACTCATACGCTACTCGGATGGGTACAAAACGTACGAGGCACTGATTGCCGAACCAGCCAAAAATAGTGGGATCGATTTTCGTGTTGGAGTCTGTAATGGTTACAAGCCATCTGCAGTTGCAGCATTCTCAGCGTTTTCGGACTCAAACAAGGTCGGCGAAAAAGCTTTCAACAGCGATGGCTCGGATTCACAGGACCACAGCGGAGGATTTTTCAATATATTCATCAGTAGCTCCTTGAATGAGTTCATCAATAAGAAGATGATATCAATGCTCAAGATCCGCAACGCAACCGGTCTTGGATGGGAGAACGCAAAGAAGTTCTTGGATCAACGCCAAGGACGACCACTTGAAGAAAATGCAGATTTGTATGCTGACAATGACTACTCGGACAAGGATACAATCAAAAGTCACACATCGCAGATTCTAGCCAACGATCATCTTACCGATAATGAGAGTGGCAGCTTGTCATTTCCGCTTATTGCTGCACAATTTGCGTTGATGTATCTAGTCCGCTGCACGGAATTTTGTCTCGTCTGCCATGATAAGATTACAGGAGGATTTGAGGCGTTGAAACCTTACGTTTGCGAAAAGCCATTATGTTTATATCAATATATGTCCTTAGGTTTTGGGCCTAGTGTCGAACATGTAGGTGGCCGTGGATTGTATATACCCAGTCCAATTACTCGAATGCTAATCGTGTATAGGAGATTAAAACTCAGCCCTATGTTGTGGACCTTCTCCTGAACTTTTGTTATACCAGTGCTTTCGTAGGTCTATTTGTATACCATATCCATAGCTTCCAGCTGATTTTTTGATAGTACGCTCGGATCCGTGAGTATCCCACAGGCATGAGTCTCTCTGTTCCCTCGGCCATCATCTCCCAAACGGCGGTGTTGCCAATCCCATCCTTCGCCCCGGCCCCAGCTGTTGTAGAAAAACCAAGCGATGATCGTCGAGACAAAGAATTCAAGATTAAGTATAATAGCGAAGCTTGTGAGTTTACGTTCGAGGAAATGTCTGAGATCTTAAACCCTCCTATTCGCAAAGGAGATTGGGTCCGCATTTTGCTTGGGCCCGGACCAGATACCGTAGCTCAAGCACTTCATTCTAGAGTAGAGGATGTAACCTCGATGCCGATCGTAAAACTTTCGCAACCAATCCCGCAATCAAGTGCAACACCAACAGACAACACCACCAACATAATTGCGGCTCGGATATCTATTTACAATCGCAACTTCGACGAGATGTCTGTCTCAGAAAAATGCAGTACTATAACAATGCTTCTTGACACTTTACCAACCATCCAGGAGTTGAGAGAATATATCGATCGACAGAGCCGAACTGAAGAACCGAACCTTCGTAAATGGACAGAGCGTATATCCCCAGCCGCTCTAGGTTTACTACGATGGGTTATAGCCTCTAATCGCTCATGCCTTGTTCAAGTCGATAAATGCCCTGGTCAAATTGATAGTGTTTTGGCTGATGCAAAAATTAGACCAGATCAAAAGGTCTCTCAAATTGGGGAAAATTGGATGCAGTTTCGTTTCGCACAAGGATCGCCAGACAAGGAAGAGCGTTTCTTAAATGCTCTCAAAGAACAGCAGGCCAGTTTGGATCCAAAGTATCCTACTATCTTTGCTTTTCATGGCAGTGGGCTGCAAAACTGGCATAGTATCATTCGACATGGATTAGATTTCAAAGAAACTCTCAACGGGCGAGCATTCGGACATGGCGTTTACCATGCGCAAGATCAAACTATATCTTGTCAATATAGTGGTGGTGGTCGAAACTGGCCAGTAAGTATAAGAATCATCGCATTTGGTCTGGTCTAACTTTCAATTAGGGTTCCTGGCCTGGAACTCAACTCAAGATTACGTCTGTGATGAGCATTAACGAGATTATCAATTGTCCAAAACAGTTTGTTAGCTCGAATCCATATCTAGTAGTACAGCACATCGATTGGATTCAATGCAGATATTTGCTCGTTCAAATTGAAGGGCAGGTGATTGCAACTCCAGCCTCGACTAGGTATGTTTCCCACCCAAGCTATTCGTTTAAGGGGAATGAGACAATCCGCAATGATTGAATCTGACATTTATTTTCTTTGTAGGGAAATTCAGGCCGAAATCGAGCAGGATCCCAAATATACGGCAATATCCACCAACAAGAAACCTATCGGTGTTCCATACTGCGCTGCCTCAATCTCTAGAGCATTTCGTAATGATGGCATCGGCAGTTCTTCCCCATGCAAGAAACTGAAAGGAATATCTTCTTTGAATGGGACTGGATATGTGAGCGAAGCAGAGGACATTGAGGATATTAACTTTCTGATTTCTGATAATGAAGATGAAGTGGGAATATTGTAAGTAAACTAACTCTCCCTTAACAATTTGTTGTTTGATCACAGCAGTTGAAAAAAGTCTCAAAATTGCACCCGAAAGAGCCATCAGCGATCAAATTATTCTATCGTGCTAATAACGAATTCTTTAAATGAGATTTCGCTAACTATTTGTGCTAGATCTTCCAGTTCCAAGAATCTAGAGACTTCAAAAACCGATTTTGTTCCTGGATCACTTGATCAAAGTAAACTTCCAATGCTGGGGCCTCCAGCTTATGCTACCCCGTCTGCAACTATGCGTCTCAACAGAGAGTTAAAAGCCATCCTTAAGGTACAAAACTCTACACCCCTTCACGAATTAGGATGGTATATCGATGAAAATCTTGTTGATAATATATACCAATGGATCATCGAGCTACACTCCTTTGAGCCCACTTTACCACTGGCCAAGGATCTCAAAGAATCGGGCCAAAACAGCGTTGTTATTGAAATTCGCTTTGGGAAAGAATATCCTCACAGCCCGCCATTTGTACGAGTTGTCAAGCCACGATTCTTACCCTTTATGTCTGGTGGCGGCGGTCACGTAACAGCCGGTGGAGCATTATGTATGGAGCTTCTGACAAATTCTGGCTGGAGTGCCGTCTCCTCGATTGAGTCTGTTCTCTTACAAGTTCGTCTTGCACTTATGAGTATGGATCCAAAGCCTGCACGCTTAGAAAGCAAAAATCCACAGACTCAAGGTGAATATGGAACTCAAGAAGCTATGGCAGCTTTTATCAGAGCGTGTAACATGCATGGATGGGAGATACCGAAGGACTTTCAGGACTTTGCTGCACCTGGTCCTAGTCAATTTTAAATTTGGGAAGCAATATTCGGGAACACCATAGCATTCAATAATTGAAAGAAGGGAGATAGGAGTGACAGAGAAGAGGGGAAAAGGGGAAGGATTTAAGATTTGCTTTTACTTCTTTGCTGGTCTGGTTTTAATTTCTATTGGGCGGGCTGGCTGGCGTCATGAAAACTCAAGATGGGATATTATGATAAGATGACTGGAGCTGGGACCTGGCGGATAGATACCCAAACAAATAGAAAGGAATGCTACAGGAAAAAATAGGCGTCAAATTGTGCAATGGGACGGTATGGAAATGGATGGATCTTTAGGGCTGGGCGGGAATCTGACTATTACCTTTGTGTAAGATTTCTTTTACGGAAATCTACATGATAGTAAGCCAATTATTAGATGAGAAGATATGCAGATACATGAGTTTTCTTCTTTATAAGATTTGTTATGTTATGTTTTGTGAGTGAGTGATGAGTGAGTGAGTGGGTTCCTGGGTAAGTGCTTTTTCTATTATAAGATGCTTGTTGATGTGGTTGATAAGCGTAATTGACGAGTGTAATTGACGAGTGTGATTGGTTTGAAAAATTTAAGCTGTAGCTTCTAAGGTTACCTAGGTAGGGATATTTCTTGTTGTATGTAGAAGGGAGGAGGGAGGGATGTTATTTATATAGGTTGGTTGGTTGGTTGGTTGGTTGGTTGGTAGGTAGGTAGGTAGGTAGTAGTGTAATGTGTAATGTGTATTAATTGTAATTTGGGGAATTGGATGAGTTGAGGTAAAGATGAGGTAAAGATGAGGTAAAGATGAGGTAAAGATGAGGTAAAGATGAGGTAAAGATGAAGTAAAGATGAGATTAGATGAGATTAGATGAGATTAGATGAGATTGATTTGGATGAGGTTGATTTGGATGAGGTTGATTTGGATGAGGTTGATTTGGATGAGGTTGCTTTGGCTGCGGTTCGCTTTGGCTGAGGTGGTCAACGCAGCGCGCCGCGCGCCGCGGCGCGGCGTCTCTCTATCATGTATTTAGGGCCGTATGTTAGTTTTTGGATGTATGCGGAAGTTGAGATATAATATGATCTGCTATCGCTCGCTCTTCTCAGGAACACTTAAGGGCAATTTAGGTCGGGTCTTTCTCGGCATATTCCCCGTATTGCAACTGGGGCATTCACATTTTTTGTGATTTTAATTTAGAGGCTGTAATTACTTCCGAAGAAATATTTAAACCGGAGTATAAATTAACAGTTGTAAAACTCTCAACGGTTGTAGAAGGGTTTTTAGAATGGATAGAATTGCTTAGTATCTTGAAAGTTGGAAGCTATTCAACGCTCTAATACTAGGAGTTCAATCAATCATATATATACTCTCTATCCCATCCCCCCTGCCCTGTGGAACCATACTCGACGCCACCAGACTAAACTTTAGCTAATTCGAATTATTCTGAATTCAGATTTTCAAAATGTGTTGAATTTGAAGTTCTACAGCAATAGCGAGTTCTTTGTGCATAAATTTTATGCATTTACCGGGGTATTTGCTAGCGTATTTGTCAATATCAATTAGATTGACAGGGGGAAAGAGGATTATGTAAGGATGTGGCCAGATTTAAGCCTTAAATCTAAGGTATATCGGATAATCCCTATATTAGCTTCAATTTATTCAACTACTTATTGTTTTGAACTATTTATTAGCTTTAACCATACTAATTCACTTCAGAATATTGAAAACTATAGTTTTAATTTAAATCTGGTTGAAAACGGATTTAAAAATTTAAATGGTTGTATAACAGATATATTAATTCAATTAGTTATATATCGGTCCTAAAAACCCCCCTTTTCCTATACGGTATATATATACTAAAGATATGCAAAACGCCCGAAAGGAAACGAAGTAGACCACCTGTATGCTAAAACCCTCTTTTTCCGAGTCTAGAAATCAAAAAATGCCGCCGCATCGTATTTACATTTTACGATCGCTCTATTCCGCACTCCTCACTCCTTGCCCTAATCTTTATTCCCACAACCCAAACACCAATCAACTCCCAGCCTTCATAACATCTCATCTACTCTCATCTACTCCCATCTCGCCACATTTAAACATTGATATTGTGACCCCAGATACCCTGTTCCTCACGGGCACTATAGGTACTAACCGCCAAAATCTCCTGCATCTGTTCCGTTCCGACCAGCATCTTCTTTCCAGCCACAAACCATCGCATGCCCTCTGTACAAGGGGGAGAAGTGAGACTTCCCTCATAGGTCCAGAAATCCTTCGCGTTGTTGATCTCTGTAAGTGCCTGTTTGAGATCGAGATCGAGGGGGATGCGAGTCGTTGCGTCTGAGAAGGAGGGGATGGATGAGAGGGGGAATGAGTCGAAGAAGGTGGAGTTGGCGACGGTGCCAAAGGGGATGGGATCAATCATGAATGCGACGACGGCACGTTCGGCGCCCGAGGCAGTGGCGTGCACGAAATGGAGTTCGGCCTTGGAACGGGCAGAATCAATGGTGTGATCTGCTGGTGCGTGAATGTGCCAGCCTTTGAGGAAGACGGTTTCGTTGTCGAAGGTCATGGATGGGTTGCCACTGAGATCGGTGACGTTGGAGGTGAGGGAGAAGGCGGGACCATAACCCCAGTTGTAGAGGGAGCCTGCGGTGGAGCTTGAGTAGTTGAATGTTGGGGTGTGGGTTTTGGAGTAACCGGTGCTGGTGGTGAGATGGATAGGGGATTGTTGAGTGCCTGTTTGGCAAGTGGTGTAGTCTGATGGGATGTTAGAATAGGAGCATGAGCTGGAGGACTGTGAATGAAAGCTTACTCTCGTTGATCATTCCCCAGTTGTAAGCAGCGTCATATGCCCAATCGGCAGGTCCATCAGCTCTCTTCATGAGTGATTGGCTGGAAAGATCATGATCTGGACAAGCCATAACGGCTGACAAAAGAGTTGCGGCGAGAATGAATTTTGACATGGTGAAAGAGTGCAGTGAAATATTGACTGAATGAATGTAGTAACTGAGTATGAAAGTTTGGATGATTTGATGATTTGATGATTTGATACTGTGTTACGAGAACAGCTCTAGTATTTATAAATGAGAAGAACTCCTTCCATTGTCGACTTGAGATTACTTCTCTTGGCCATTTTTCACTGCCATCATGATATTCTTGGAACGTACGATGACAAGATCATTGCATAAAACGAATACGCTTACCACAAGTTCAATCAACAGCGATCTCAGTCCCAGCTTTCCAAATTGTCGATGGGTATGGCATGCAGAAATGAAGATATACTTTTCTTGGCCTCCAATACCAAGAGCCAAGCGGACTAAGATTTCTGTCAAACAGACGAAATTTTAGGTCGTTTGTCATACAGTATTGTATTTGAATAGTCGATCGAACAACATCCGCAATTCAGGCGCAAGAGATTCGCAAGGCCGACCCTTATCTGGCCAAGATAAACAATGAAGGAAATTTGGAGGCGCTTGCAGAGCCACAATTATCTCGTGATCTTTAAACTCTATCTTGTTCTCTTTTATGCGATTTGCGATACCTTGGGAACCAACAAGCTGTGGAAGGCTGTGCACACTTGTTGTATCACAATATAACCATTCCAAACTTTAATCTCTACCATGAGACTTTGAGTATGCCTTGAGCAGCGCAGGCCACGAGGTGTTCGTAGAAGCTCGAGGAAAAGGTAGAATTATGGAGTTTGTAATCATCCACCCAAAGCTATTTTCTCTTCTCCTTGAACTCGCGTCCCGTCATTTGGTTTATGCATATTTGATAGGGGACATCTAGACCGAATCGCTTATATTGCTAATACATTGTAGATGACTGAAAATAGCACCTGGCTTGATGATTTGATGCCAATTGGATCACCAAAATGTATAAACTTTGGCAAGCTTCATTTCTGCAATATAATATTTCGTGCAGTGGCTTCATGTAGAGTTGTGAACGCGGGGTATATAGGTTCGTGTTGTGTGTAGAGTATTTCATGCCCGTGTGATTGTTTTGGCTGGCCCAGAGAAGTGCTAGTTCATCTTATTGTTCTGATGCAAGTGGACAGGACACCAGTCGCTAAAGTCTTGGGAGAGTAATAGAAATATTGAAACATTGAGAAACCGAAAATTCGGAACCGAATCCAAATATGGAAAAGACTCAAGATGCTAGAGCCTCGCAAGATAATCCGCTTCTTCTTCTTCTGCTTCTATTTCTTCTAGAGCGTAGCGAAGAAGCCTCCACGGCAGTGGCCCAGCGGAGCGTCATTAATTGAACCTCTGTAGTTTACGATACCTAGACTGAAGAAGAGTCTGAATGTAAGATGGATACAATTCTCTTGATATTATGTCCAGAACATCTCATTACTTTGAAGATTTGAAGACATTCATGTGAAAATGAAATGTTTGGTTCCAAACATTTTATGCATGATATTGGAAAACGGAAAAGGGACGATTCCACTCAAGATGAAGCGAGAAAAAGGGTTAAAGATTAAATTTCGCTATATAAAAATAGAACAGAGATGAGGAGTAATGATTGGATGGTTAATTCCGTCTGAAGTATTAAGGGATACCTGCCTAACAAAATCAAGAGAGGTTCGAGGAGCGAAGGGCGAAGAGTGAATTTGCTATAAATAAGACAACACTCCTATCAATATGAAGTTTGAAGTTTGAAAGTTTGAAGTTGCTACGAAGAGATCAGCGATAAGCTGGAGATAAGATAGCTCTCGTCTGCACTAAGCCATATAGGCATTAGCGTCGGTAGTAGATGGTACAAACACCCGACCATTTTCAAGCAGGCACGTGCAGGGATTCATTATCGTCATGCGCATAGTAACGAGCGAGGTGAGAGGCTAAGAGGCTCAGGTACCTATGGATGATTGGATTAGAGCCGTAGAGCCATAGAACCATTTTCAATACTATCTGCCGACTCCATTGCTCAGTCTTTCCCTCTCCGTCTCTCTCTCTCTCTCTCCCTCTCTGACATCTGACACCCTCTCTCTTCTATTACTTTATAGGAATGAAATGCTTCAATTGTTCTTCCCAAACTCTTCCTTGATATATCATCATCTATCGACAAATCAACAGGGCAACAATCTCCTCTGGTATTGTGGTCAATAATCTTTCATGTTGGAACTTATGTCAACATCTTGAAAATCCTCAAAACTTCTACTTATTTTTATCCTGTTCTACTCTTTCCTCATTGTCCCTAATAAATCACCCACAATCAAATAGAATTTAACGGAAAACTCCCGAATTAGAAAACCTCACACTTCAGTCCTCATTCACTCCTTCTTAATTCACCTTCAATAAATATACAGGCGTCGCAAAATATTCTGGTAGTCATGGCTATGAGTCCTTCTCCTCAAATGTCTCCGACAACATTCGGAAAACAAGTTGAGAAACAAAGATCAAACTCTCCACCTCCGCATCAACTATCCAAAAGAGACAAACGTCGATCCGCAATGCAAGATAAACTGCATGAAATGACAGTTAGCTTTGCTTCAAATAGAGATCATCATTACCGCGACCAACTCAAAGGATTGCAAATCGACATGAATCTCATTCAGGAAGCTGACGTTCATGGCAAATACGCTCTCCCGGATGGCAATGAGGTTGAGCCATTAGTCGTAGATGGTATCAAGAAAGTTAAAGGAATTGCTGGTCATCATCCATCTGCTGCTGGAAAAGAGTATGAATCTTTCGCAAGAGAAATCAATAACGCCATGGAAGAACGGGACGTCGCATTAACTACGCATATGGTATGTGCAATTGTTTACCTTGACTCTTGACTTTCTTTACGAAGAGCTTATAGCTAACGTCCTTTTTACAGAGAGACTACGAAGTTAAAGCAAATGAAATCGAATCCAGTTATGCCTATCGAATGCGACTCGCGGACTTGGAATACAAAGCTTTGATGTCAACCTTGAGAGATCGTTTGATCAATAAGCTCAATAGCAAGAAAGCACACTTGCTGAAAGATAAAGAGTCAATTGAAATTGGAGAGAGCAATGCTTTACTTTTACACCCAAGCAAATTTGGTCTCGCTAACCCCGCTAGCCCTGGTGGGATGCATTCCAAAAGAGCTACAAGGCATCGACGAGAAGCTGAAGAATTACCCAACATGTTTGATCACTCTAAACGGAAGAGAAAAGGAATTGATGGCGACGAATCTCCAGCTCCGTCAAGACAACGTATGGACAATGGCGGTAATACTCCGTTGGGAACATATGAGCGAAACGGAAACACATCCGCACAACTCGAAGCACCAGCAAATAGCATAGAAGGCCTATTTACGGAGAAAGAGCTCGGAATGAAATACAATGAGGCAGCTCAAGCAGCCTATAGTTATATGGTTCGACATCCACCATACGAAGATGATAATAGTCCTCAAAATGGCAGATCTGATTCCAGTCCCGACACTGATAAAATAAATGCAACATCCGGAGATGTTGAGAATGATGAATCAGATTCTCCTCAATCCGCACCTCAAATGGAACGTCAACCATCACACCAGACTAGGAGCACACGCGGGGGAGGAGTAAACTTTAATACAGGCACAGGAATTGATATTCTTAGTGATTTGGCATATCCTGGAAATATGGCAGCAATCACGAAACAAATCCCTAAACTACCACCACTTCTCGCCTCGAATATGCAGAAAGGATATGTGAAAGGAGATGCTGCCAATCAACCACAAGGATTGGCTCCTGATGAGATCAATGCCGAATTAGAAATTATCAGAAGAGGTCGCACATATAATGACGAAAGGGGATTTGGTAAAAATCTTGACTTGGAAAATGGTGGGAAAAGTCTTCTTGAAGCAGTCAGTACACCAAGAAGACCTCAAACCTATTATGTTAAAAGCGACAATAAAGGTACAATGCTCAGCAACTTGAGAGAAGAATTGGGTGCAGAAGCAATGTCAAAACAAAGTTCTAGAGGAGGTAGTGAAGTTGGAGGAACATCAATGTCAAGGCAAAACACTAATGATGGAACATCATCAAAAGCTGGCGGTCGAGGGAAGAAAAATCTTTTGATTTAAGAGGAAAAGTCTATTACATTACTTTGTTTGATTAGGTGTACATTGTTGGTCAATTGGTTATTAGAGAGCGTTGGCGTTGGGGGATTAGGAATATCATGATTCATGAGGAACATTAGATTCCGATTATCCATTCATGAGGTGGGAAGAGGTATGGGTGGGTATATTATATCATGGTTAGTTGTTAGTTAATGACGATGGGGGTGGTTTCGTCGTTTTATAACTACTCTTTTTTGAGAGAGATTACTCTTGAGATTAAAGTAGTGAAGACAATCAGTTCCATCTTTGATTTTTGATTGTCTATTTCATTTTACTCTTATCTCTATTGAAAGCGTAATTCGTGTTTACCTACTACCTAGGTAGGTATACATGTTCATGTATATATGTCTTGAAGTATAAATTTGATTTGGATGTTCATTTTGATCTAAACTTTAATATTCATATTCACGTTAACTTACTTACTATCTAGGTGGGTTCTAGATAGGAGGTGCCGACTTGATTTAGAATTAGATTTACAAGTATAATTACTCTATTAAATAAGTCGTTATAGTATCTACATCTGTATGTAGATAGCTTAGCTTGTCTTATCTTGTCTGCTTATTAGATAGTCATGGGGATAGTAGAGAGAGAAAGAGAGAAATTATTTAGAAGAGAAAAAAAGACTAGAATTAATTACTTCGAGTAATAAAGTCCTTTAATATTTTAATAATTCTATTTCGATTTAGAGAAATAAAAATCTAAATAAAAATCTAAATAGTACTATAACTAAATAAATAAATAAATAAATAACTAAAAATTTGTTTAATATATTTATATCTTGTTAGTTTATTTATTATTTATTTATTATTTATTTATTATTAGATTATTAAGAGTATTTACTCTACGATGTTAACTACTAGTAATCTTACGAATACTGCCTTCCATTTCCTTTTCCATTTTCAACAATAAAATATATGTCCCCTTCCTCGAGTCTTCCGTATACAAATTACAACAGTAGAAAATCCGGCATGGTGTAGTGGCTAGCATTTCCGCCTCTCATTGATCGCTTTACAGCTTTCGAAAAAGGTCGCGGGAGACCGGGGTTCAATTCCCCGTACCGGAAATTATTTTGTTTTTGTGTTTTTGTGTTTTTGTGATTTTTGGGGATGGAGTTTGAAGGGAGGGATGAGGATGTGATGGTTTTTTTGGGGAAGGGGGAGGAAGGAAGAGGGAAAAATTGAATGGGTGGAGAGAGATTTATTTGAGTGAGTTGAGTGAGTTGAGATGGGATGGGATGGTTTTTCGTGGGGAAAAAACAAGCTGAAAGTTACTATGTACTACTACTACTAATAACTAGGTAGTAATTAGTAAAGCTTTTCAATAATTCTAATTGTTGTACTCATATTTCAATTCAGACAATTAGGAATTTAAATAAAATAATCTGCAGATAATAATAATGTGTAATTAAAGATTATTTGAAGATTGATTATCTAACCTACCTCGAGCCTACCTGTCTACCTACATACCTATCTACCTACCTATATACCTATCTACCTATATACCCGAATAAATATACATACATACATCTAGTTAGTAACCATCTATTAGGTTTCTTTCTACTTTGTAATCTTACAATCAATCTCTAATTAACTCAAGTTATTTTTTCATCATTCGTTATTTTTTCCTTACTTACTTATTTCCTTACTTCTTTCCTTCCCCCTTATCACCGTTCCCGGTTAACTTTCTATATACGTAGGATAGATAAGTGAGGTAGGTGGGTTGCCAGCGAGGACTACTGCTACTGCTACTGTTATTTCCATTTCCATTTTCAACTCCATTATCATCTCTATTTCTATTCAACAATATCAACAATATATCATATGTTCATTCTAAACTTCCCCATCCATCTCAATAACAATCACAACGCCTACATATTACACACACCATTCATCCATTCAATTCAGTAACAAAAAACCCAGAATTAAAAAAAACTCAATATGATATTTAAATTCTCTACCCGTACCTATACGTACTGTATCTTAATTTTCACGTGTGTATTTTCCATGTGTATTCCTATCCATCGCCACCAAACCCACGACTCCCATTTTATTTCTTCGAGCAATCATACCTCCCACCCATCATCATTTTCATCATGCCATCCATCATGCAACCCCGTTCTGAGTTCCCATTTTCCTTTAACAGATACCATCTCCCTCCTAACAACCCCCTCTATCCACAAGCTTCCACTACTCCGTAGCTTTATACTTCTTATTAAACTCCCCAACCGCCACTCCAATATTCTTATACAAAAAGTTCCTCGAACTTTCCTCCGCAACCGGTATAAATGGACCATTTGTTCCTCCTCTCAATGTCAAACTCAAACCCGTTCTCTCTTTGCTAATCGTTTGAATATCCTTCAATGGCACATCCCACTCACTACTCAATTTCTTACTCTTAACCAACATAATCCTCGAATAAGTCAACATAACCACCACATCTTCCCTTGGCAATTCCAGATGTGCGATATATTGTTCATTAAAGTATTTCCCATTATCCAGTTGTTTAAGCCAGAATTGTCCTAGTGCTTCACGTTGAGAGTATGGGCGTACAATTCCATCTTGTCCGATGAAACGAGTGAGTCGTACACGATCGAGTCCGCTATCATCAAAGACTGTCGTAGTATTACGAATACCTTCACTAACATTTGAAGCGAGATCAAAGACACCGATAGCTGGTTTGGTAGCAAATCCCAAAAGACCTTTACCGACACCCTTAAAGAAACCAGCAGCACCTTCTTGCTCTGCTCCTTCGAGAGGTTTGCGTGCTAGTCCACCTACACCACTTGCAAAACTACTGATGAGGGAATTTGCGCCCGCCGTAACACCATAAAGAGCGTGCTTGGGTCTATTTCGAGATCGAGTCATACGACGACGATCTTGGAACTGTTTGTCCATAGTAGCTTCAGCAAGACCTTTTGCAATACTACCCGTCCATTTCGAAAAACTGTCTGAAACACCAAATACCGATTTCTTGACAAAACTGGTGGCACCTTTGGCGATACCAATACCAAGTTGTTCTGGATCATTCATAATAAAACCTTGATATGGTTCATAGAAGATATCAGCAACACCAGAACTGATGTTGGTGAATAAGCCGACAGGATTTCCAAGGAAATCAGCTGAACCTAAGATCTTATGAACTTGATAAAGTGCTTCTTGTGAATAATGATTGGAGATATTCATCATCAGAACGGCGGCAGAAACTCTTGCATTCTCCAACATCAAAGCATTCATACGGACTGGAGCATCATTGATGTTACCAATAGCCATCGTCAAAACGTTCATGAAGAACATCAAAGGATTCTTTGATGATGTCTTGTCTTCAACATTGACTCGATCGGTGCGAACGAAAGATAAATCAAGTTGCATAGGTTGGATATTGAGGAGTTCGAAATAAATATCTTGACCAGATTGCTCTTGTTTTGGTTCTGGAATGTCGAGGCTTTCATCACAAAGTACGCCTTCATGTGTTTCTGACCAGGCAGCTCCAGGTACCTTTGAGAATTCTAAGACGGCAAAGATAAAATCTTCATCAATTTCGAGAGTCATTTGTTGCACCAAGACTGTTGCATATTTGATGTAAATAACTCCGTAGGAATCATCCTTGACTCTGGTAACCATAGCATGAAGAGATGGATGAGCTTCAGTTTCCTTGGTGCCCTTTTGAACAACACTAGGATACAAAATCATGGGGAAGATTCCACCATAAAGTTGATTGTCAATTTGTATCCACTTAATAGAGGCAGTGATCGTTTGATATAGAGGTGATTCGGCGTATTTGAGAGCAATATCACGCAAAGTAATGTAAGCAAGTTCCTTGAGTTGAGCATTGACCAGAGAGATACCAATACCACCAAGTTTGAGTTGTGCTTTGAAGTTGACGGCAGTATCTTGACTCTTGACCTCAAACCCTCCAGCAAAACTAACAGAAGAGTTTGTTCTTGACTTTTGTTTATACAAACTCTTCGATGCTTTGTAGTTGGATAGAATGAGAGTTTGTGTCGGACCGTCTGCTGCGACGTTGAGATCAATGATTTTTTGGTTCCTGGGGTTGGGATCATCTCCTCCAATCTTCATAGGAATGAGATTACCGATCTCTGCAAGTTTTATGTGGCGTTCCTTTCCGTTTGCAACAATTATCAACTCCTTTTGTTTAGCAGCAGGATAATCCCAAGCGTATGGCATAATACTTCTGGGTGGTAAACGATATCTGATTGGTTTCCATCCGGATCTGTCCTCGGTATCTTCATCGTCCAAGTTAGGGTTCGCTTGGAAAAACATGAATTCTGTATCACTCTCATTCCGCATAGAGAATGGCCAATTCTTGGTCTCAGCACTGATATGCAAGAAAATTGTAGCATTTTCCATGAGGACTTCAACTCTGATGAGTTTCTGTCGTTGCCCAGCCTTGGCCAATTTCACATGTGTAATCCCAAGATTCGAGATTGTAAATGGTGACGACCACTGGTTATTTAATCCTGGGAAGCACATCGTGAGCTGCTTCACTTGACTCTTCTGAAGGAAATGAAGAGGTTCCAAAGCTTGTGGCTTCAAAGTCCAAAGTTCAGATGAACCAGGCTCTCTGACGTTTAATTCTTCGTTCATTTGATTCTTTAAAATGAAACGGGGAGCAAGTGTGACAACCTTCGTCATCTTATATTTACCCTCTCCTGCTTCGACACTGATACCCACATGAATTTCGGTGTTGTTCTTTGAGGAAGGTAAAATGACATCAACATTGCTACCGATAGCATCCAAACTTTGCGGTTTACTCCAGTTTGAGTCACCGACCTTCAATAGGGCACGATTTCGTTGATCATCTCCTCCATATGCGAACATATAGGGCAGTGCTTTGCGTCGTTCAGAATCAACTGAGTCAGTATGGAATCCTTGACCGGCCGCTGTCTTTGCTTGCTGCAATAGCGATTTTTGTTTGATGTTTATCTCTAGGCCAGTCTTATTTAG